TTTAATATACTTTTTAAAGACAATCATGATGTAAAATCGATCACGGCACAAAACGCATTACCGCGTTAGTACTGCCTAACTCAGTTACGGTTTACATACATAAATACATTGCACCAACTCGTTTATCGAAACGTTTACTGTTTTCATGAACGAAATGCCTCAAATGTACATCTCGGCTAATACATGCACGAAACGCACTTGCACAACGCAATTGATCCCACACATGAAACGTATGCCTATGTATTACATCATCAAATCCAAGTGATACATTGTGACCCAAGCAATCTGCTGTCGTATAAAGTCAAAAAACTCTAAACGTTGGTTATAATCCATGTTTTGATATTTTAATGTCGCTGCTTTATGCATAAAATAAATCTATCTTTATTTAACTGAATGCTGAGTTCGAAGAAAAGATGAAATGTTATGGGTGTGTCTTTTTAATTCAGTAAACGTTTCGAATTTAGATTATGTCCTACCGTAGGCCTACTACCATATATATACGGTAGGCCTAAAGCAGGGTATCGCTATTTAGTTGTACTCGATCGTTGATGTCGACTGAATCAAGTTTTCCAAATTAGGATTTTCATAGTTTTTAACGTGTTTATTTCAACAGTTTATGTTAAAACGTTTTACATTTAAACGCAGAACGGTACAGGTCTCTAGGGCAAAGAAACAGGAAATGGTGCGCTTAATTAGCACTATATTCGGCAGTACAAATCAGCTGTTCAGTGTAGGATAAATAATGTTCTTGGTCGGGTGAACTAGAATGGATACGCCGAACTGGAGCTAAGCAGTGGAAGACATTTTTATTGGTCAAGATCAATATGGCAGCTCAGCAGACGACATTGACGGAGATGCTGAAATTCCGGATACAGTCTGCTCATCTTTCGATGAAATTAAGTGTATACCAAGATGTGTATAAGAGACAGTATATATATAATTATAAATACAGTGTTCAACAGTCTACATGCCTTGTCATAATTTTTTGTTTAAACGGCTTAAACCCGTATGTTAAAGGACAATTTGTTCGTTTTTAAATAACAACAATCCTGTCTTATATAGGCCTATATTTAAATGTCGTTTTTGTTTTCTTTTTAATGAACATGCGCCTTTAGATTTAAAGAAACTTATTATTTGGTTGATCTGCATGCGGTTTTATAGTGGACAACGATGACACTTGGATAACAAGATTAAATGTCAAATGCATCTCAACCTCGTTCATAATTGCTACCAATTTTCCGATAGGTCTACATATTTTTTGATACATCACTGCTAAGATGGTGAAATTTGTAGCACAGACTGAATGTAGATGTTGGTTTATGGTAACTATAACCGACTGAATTCGATTAACAACTTTGTTGTACAAGCTTCATTTCTCCGTCTTCGAATCACGTTAAGTTACCATAATTTCTCATTAGTTTGTACGGTTTGTTTCTTTCCCTAATTTAGTAAACAATTAATGTTATTTTAATTACTCCTAATTCACCTGGTTAATGCTGTCATAAAACTCCGACTTTAGAGGTCTTGAAATTCCTGCACGTTTTAATACATGCTGAGATAGCATGACTCTGTTAAATAACTAGTTGATAATTTGTTGTAATTAGTCCTATGTATAGCCTATCATTAAAGGTATATTACACAGCCTGTCATCACTCTCGCCAACGAAAAGCGCTCCTTTCCGTTCATTAAACTATCCAACTAATGATAGCTTCGCTTGTTAACAGTCCTGTGATTTCTTTTTATGATAAATTAATTTAGCTTAACAGTTCATTTATGGTCTGCTTCACAGCACGACATAGTTTTGTTAAAGGATGAGTACCGCTAACTAGCATATGGCACTCTTCTCTTTGATCACGGATGAGATGAAACGAGGCGGAATGGTATCAAGCTGGTAATCGAGTGGTGTCGCACGTCTTTCTTTTATTAACAGTTGGAACGGGAACCAGTGCACTTATTAAAGGTGGCGCTATCCCAGCTAACAATATTACGTTCTAAGAACTTTATAATAACGTTAAAGTTTGGTGATTTTGTAGAACCACATGTACGTACTTATAACCTAATTTCACAACGTCACAACGTTTGAACTTTTTTACAACGTTGTGTGAACGTTATTATGTGACATACCTAACCGCGAACGTTATAAGAACGTTTAGTGTTTGCTGGGATTTTATCATTCCAACTCTGACCCATGATTTATGATTTAATAACTAGCCAGTCACTCCATAGGGTGTATCCGCCCTCTCGTGACTAAGTAATAAATTGGTAAACAAAAATTCAACTATTCGTGATTTGACCTTCGAACTATTGTAATTTATGAAATTTCTCTTAACTTGATATTGGCATTTCAACTTTTGCCCCAAAATTCAATCACCTCTTCCTTAAATCCGTGTGCACCGCTTCACTAAATTATGTGATGTATTTTTTGAATAATCTTCTAAAAACAGACAGACAGACCCTGGATACACAACCCCTTATGATGATGACGCTGCTGATCTTAATAATAGGTCTAATGATAATGGTGATAATCATTATTAATAACCATAACGATAATAGTTTTTTTTTTTAACCGGACTGTGGTATGCCGATGTCTTTTGTGAATATATCGTAACATTTTTATGGATAGGCCCTAAGTTGAATTTCCTTGGTTGGCTTGAAGCGAACAATGAATATTTATGTCATAATACTACATTTAGAAGGCTGTTCAGATACAGATTGACGGGAATATATTTGCATTTTACTTCCACGAAATAAGTTCTTCTGAATTACATGAATTATGCTCTTCAGTGGAAGACATTTTTATTGGTCAAGATCAATATGGCAGCTCAGCAAACAACATTGACGGAGATGCTGAAATTCCGGATACAGTTTGCTCATCTTTCGATGAAATTAAGTGTATACCAGCTTTCCTTTGGAAAACTGTGAATTTAATCAATATTTTAATCAATGAATAAATAAAATTAACCAAGTAATGTTTAAATCAATCAATTGCGACCTCTGATCAAGTGATCGATCGACTAACCAATCGAATTCATCGAAAGATCAGTTGATTTATCGATCCAACCAATCAATCCATCAACAAACCAGCCAACCAACCAACTAATATTCCATCAATCATATATCAATCAATTATTGATCCACTGTTCTATGTGGTAAGATCTAATGTAATTATATTGTTATACTAATATTGTTTTTATACTGGAATTAAACTGATTATTAGTTGTGATTTTTGTTGTTGTAAGTTTTAACTTTTTGTATTGTGTTTTAATGAATGTATTACCGAATGTAAATATCATCCAATTCAGCTAATGCTGCCATTTTTGATATATAATGAATTGAATTTAAGTTAATTGAAAACAAAAAACAGTGGCGTGTCTGCATTGATTGCCGAGTGTAACGTCTCTACTCTATCATTCATAGTTTGCTATGGAGTAACGCTTCCCTCCTCTGATGCATTAGACATACACGTCTTTTTTTTATATAGGCCCTAGTCATTTATATTTTGTACATATATTGCTTTGGTGGATTAAAATTTAATTGAATGATGCCTGATGCTATTAATAGAATGTACACTTATTACCAATATTAGAAAGTCCATATAAAATTAATGTATGTTTTAAATATAATTCTTTAAAATGGATATAAAATTAATGTGAAGACCCCTTTTAAGGACAATACTCCGCGGCGCCACTTCACTTACAACAAATCACAGTTGCGGTCTCAAGTAGCGGTTTACGGGCACGTTTCCGAACCGCCATTATTAGACCATATCAATCAATGATATTGTTACGAATTTATCATAGATGAAAATACAGACATCGAGACTGAAAGATTATGAGAGATCTTGTCGCAGTCAATGACCTCACGCCCCATGGAATCGGTGTACACAGTGAGCGAACACACATTTTGCGCACGCACACACACACACACACACACACACACTTCCAGCCTGCGTACTTAAAAAATTAACAAGATCATACTAAACCATGCATACCAATACCATTTACATTTATACTGTTTATATAAATTATTAATGTACGGTATTCATACACAGACCTATGCCGGTACATCATCATCATGTATCTACATACACAAACACATGATGGCTGTCGACTTAGAATGAGTTCCTGACAGTTATTTTAAAGTTGTACAATAGATAGGAGCGATATTATTATCAAAGCAATGGGGGCCAGTGGCTTTTGGGGACCCGTTCAATATGCATATATACCGTATCTAAAAATATAACTTTCCTACTTAAATTTTCCCCTCCGTAACATTAGGTTTTAGAGGCCATAATTACAGATTATATTAATTAGAATTTACGTATTACGTGCCATCAAACATTGCAAGTAGAATGACTTTTTCAAAAAACAAAAAAAAATAAAAAAAATAAACATGCCATGAACAGCTTCGTATCTGTTGAATACAATTAAGGTTATTTTCTTCTATTATGTATTTACGTATGCTTCATACCACGGTACGATGCACTAAAATATATTTTGAAAGCATATTTCTAAAGCAATTGAAATATCAGCACCCACGTTTTTGTTGATATTTTAAAGTTGGTTCAACTATATTGTACGTTTTTTAATCAAGTCAGGTCACAATACTTCATGAATAGGCCTACGTTTTACTTCACTGCAGACAGGTCATTGATTGTTATCAATATTATACTTTATCAGAGACTCAAGATAAAATATGACTTTTTAACTATTATATTGTTGTTAATATCCTTTAACATGTTTTCGAATAGTTTAAAAATACTTATGCTCGTTACAATGCTGTATATGTTTTAAAACATTTCAGAATATATGAGCATTAAGAGTTTCGCCTAAGTAGACCCAACCAAGGCTCTTGGTCCGATCAGGTACATTTTTATGACCTGACAATTATCTTGCACTGGGGCTACGCCGCTAGTCCGCATGATTGCACATACAAGCCCTGTACATACGCCTACGACTATACATATACAAGGGCTATAAATTAATAATAATTTATCCCTGTTTCTCTATTTTTGGTGAAGCTATCCACCTCAGTTTATTCTCCATTCAATAACATCTGTAAACAAACTAGACCAAAAAAATCGATGTGTGAAAAGTTACATTTGGAAATATCATTGCCAATCATCACTCACCCCATACATTTTGGTTTGATAAAATGTTAGGCCTACCCACAGGAACTAAACCATCAATTGTGCAAATCTAAGTATTTTTGTCTGTAGTATAATACTTACATCATATAATTCAATTATTAGAACTTATAATACGGTACGGACGAAATAGTTAATTTTTCACTATTTACATATTGGTCAGCATTTACATAGCATACGAATTTTAAACAAACAAGCTACAGTAATACGAAGGCCTCAAAATCAATAAGCACATCAATAAATAAACATGTTTTATGTTTTCAAAAGAAACATGCCTTTAGTTTGTAAATAATTATTATTTGCACATCATAAGCACATAGCATCTACGTACACTGTGTATCTTAATACAGTACTGTACTGTCACGGTTTTCAAGGAGGCTATGACAAAATATATCACACCAGATTTCTTTAGGGGACAATCGAAACTTTAATATTATTTGTTATTAATTATTACATATGAGTATGTGTATTAGAATACTGATCATTCGTTAACATTGAAGATCACAGACGTATCGACATTTCTAAACACATCAGAACAAATTAATGCATTATTTTAGTGATTGCAAAGTTTCACTGTGGTTGCATAGATGACAAATCAAGAGTTCAAGAGTTTATTCCGTGAATAGCAACCGTGATATAATAAGCATAGCAGTAATCTCGGAATTTGCTCGATGGAAATCATTTATCCGATTCGAGTTCAGTTATTTCACATAGTATCTCCACATGACGAGGTTTGCTGGAGGGATACCAGTCAGTCGTTTCTTGTGATCCGTCTCACGAGAAAAAAAGTAGCCACACGTAGCCTTGCCCAGGGTAGCGAATGGGGCAACTGAGTTGGACATGATACCGCCTTTCGGTACTATTCCTCCACTGCAGCTGCTATTGGGGTCGGCCTCTGATCTAGGCGGAGAAATCAAACGAGTGCATCCTAGTCCGCCAGATGTAAGGTTCAGGTGTCGTGAGTACCTGTTGTCTAGTGGAGGTAAACTACTTTTCAACGGTGCTGAACTGACGTAAGAACGCCAGAATGCTGGGTTCGGTAGATTACCTTGATAGTATTTCTCGCCAACAGGTAGTATGTCTCCCTTTGATGTTCCGCAATACTTGTTGTTTATTTGGCCTTGGAAACCGGAGTTCGGCATCTTGTTCGGGATCTAATATTTTCTTTAATGCAAGTACAAAATGAAATATTATAACTCCTGAGGCACTGTCCACTGTTATCTGTGCTGCGATAGTTCTGTAAATAACACGTTCGACCGACAGACAGGATGACTTGAAAATTCAAACACAATCTGGTTGCTGGGTCAATAAATGACTGTCAAACAATTGCTAAATAAATTTAGCATTCGTTAGTGGTTGAAACTTTGAGAATTACTATGAAATTCTCAAACGGTTTGATAGTGAAATTGGTTCACTAAAAACAGCTTACCCAAGATGTGTAAACCCCCCAAATTACAACGTGTATAGTTCCCGTGGAAAGCACAACCTTTCGTTAAGTATTGTTGATGTGTTCTGATGCTATGGGGATTAAAAGCTGAAGCGCCACCCGCTATCTGGACTAGTGTTGCGTAGGATCCCTGTGTACGTCAGATCGATAAAGATACAAAAAAACTGCGTGACAAACAAGGACATACAATTTGACTTCAGCCAGTGTATGAAAAGAAAAAGTCAACAGGCTAATAAATCCCAAAGGTCATTTGTAAATCATTAAACTTAAACGAAACTTATCTATTAACAAACATTTTATTGCCTAAAAGTACGTATAGTATGTCTAATTATTTTTTTCTTCAAAATTATGAACATAAATACAGCTAATAACAAGCCTGTATTTCGACGCAAAGCGTGTTGGCATAACCACGAACTATTAAAATGTTGTAGGACTACTATACTGTCTAGTACTTAAGTATTTTCATATCAACATCATAAATCTAAACAAAGCACTTAGCGAATATATATTTTAAGTTATTGGTAATAAAATTTAGAAAAAAACATTTTTTTCCTTTTTTGTATTTTAAAGACATTTCACATGTGCGTACTTGATATTCCAATTCGCGATTCCCCCTTTATTACGTAGTGTGGGCGTCGTACGCCTTTCCCCCACGTACGTTAGCCTAGCAACTGCCATTATATCGTGCGCGCGTGCGTGTGTTTATGTTGTGCGTTGAATCGTAGGTACAAAGCGTCACCCTCTTGTCATTCTGTGGTCACCATCAACCAAGAGCAGATAAGACTTCATCCAAGTCGCCAGATTATTTCAATTTGGCCCAAGAGCCGTACTAAAACCAACGGTCAAGGGAGCCGGAGCTGAAGTGGACTCGGCAGGTACTATGTCTTTTACCATCGAAGTGTCGCCGACAGTTCTTTCCAGTGACCTGTTTACACCTTACCAGGCTCCACGTGTCACTCTCCCGAGTGTTGGGTAAGAATATCGTTGTTCCGAATAATTTATGTTGAGCCACGCCACGCCTTTTATAACTGATATTAATATTCCAGTTTTATAGCGTATGTATATATATAATTTGCTAAATATATTATTATTATTATTTATATTATTATTATCATATTATATATGTTTTTGTTTTATTAATATTGGGTGTTAATTTGTGTCTCTATTTACAGTCTTACTAACCCACAGCCGTATCGTTTGACGTCTCTAAAGCTTAGTGACAGTCGAAAGAATGACGAGATGTAAGCCTTGCAATATTTTTACATTATCATTTGATTTTGCTGAAGTCCTCGTGCGTATAGAAAATAAATACCAGCGAAGATGTTATCATCTGTAACGACAGCAGCGTATAATTATACCTTCGATGACGCCATGTAGTATTTTTCTCTGTATTGATTACGTAATTTGTTTGTTATTATGACCCAATATGGTGACCAACCAACTCGGACATCAACGGCGGATAAATGGATCACAATATATGATCAATGCCAATTGATTAGATATAATTTTAAAATGCAGTTTTAGGAGTTCGAAATATTAAAAACCAATGAATCAGCTTGAAATTGTTAAATCCTATCTTCTTCTTTTTAAAACTTTAGATTGCCGCCGCCGATTCGAGTGAATTATCCTAAGTGAGTCTTAAAATTTTCTATCGTGTTTCTGGTTCCACACAATCTTCATCACCACCGTAGTTATAACCATCGTCATTATCAACATCATTATTATCATCAGCATCGTCGTCGTCATCGTTATCATCATCAGTATCGTCTCATCTATTGTCGTCAGCATCATCATCAGTATCGGCATCGTCTTGTCATCATTGTCGTCAGCATCATCATCAGTATCGGCATTATCATCATTATCATCATCATCCTCGCTATCATTTCGCCATAATCACGGCCACCACCAGCACCCACAGTGTGTCCTCTACCGCTCCAATCATACTCTATATTTTTTCTATATTCTTATTAACTACAAGTTTAATAATTAAATTTTGTTTCAGATCAACTTGGCAGAATGAACCATGGCCGGGACACCATTCATACACTTCACACCGCTCCAAATTTGAAGTTTTCCCGCGAATTGATCCTCAACGAACTGAATATGGGGGTAAGTTTTCAGAAGTAAAAGTTATCATTTCCCTAGAGGGCGCTCTGTAGCAAATCATGACCAGGTTTGGTTTCCACGCTGGTTTTAATATCGGATAATTTCTTTCACTTGCAGGTCCTGTTCTACCACAAAGCCGGACGAAACAGGTAGGTCTTATATAATTTGTGGTTTAACGAAATCTGACTGTTTAAATAGGTTTGAAAAGAACATAGCATTCTGGCAAATACATTTCCAATATGTCCAAAAGTACACAATGATTATAATTAACCCCAATTTCATATTCATTATCATATTTGATATTTTGGTGTAATCATAATTTTGAATTACATTAGTTGTTTTTCTTTTATTTATTCAGGAGCTTGGGGCTGCCACTAATCTTGCCCTAGGCCTGCTGACCCAGAAGCGCTACCAGTCGACCCAGTATCGAGAATCATCTCAAGGTTACACCTATGCAACGGAAGCTGCGTTATTTAACCTTCTCGACCAATCAAATCAGAGAGAAAACAGTGGCGTTACCCCTATGGTTTGTAGTCCGGAGATAGGGGATGTAGAATCGAAGGAATTGAATTCCTCCAAGGAAACGGATGAGGGTGACGAGACTGACAACAAGAAAGAAACTGACAATAATTCGGGAATTGGAAGTGATCATGGAAATGTGACGTCATTGACTGAACATGATAACTTGGATACTTCGATTATTGATAGTGTTCATTCTGAAAATTGCCCGTTACATCAAAGGGATAATAATGATATACGGAATGTTTCATTTAGCGAAAAACTAAAGATATCTGATATGACACCAGACACCAATACACAAAAGACCACGGTTGTTACTGGAATTGGACCATGTTGGCCACCGAGCACTAGTTACGTGATCGAAAATATCAACGGAGCTCAGCTCTTGGAACGTGACGATATTCAGAAATTTCCCCCTGCATACCATAGCTCGTTAAAACCCGAGTGTACCTGTAAGAAGAAGAGGGTTAAGTCTGCCACTAGGCGTGCTATCTCACATTCCTACCGAGTTAGACCTTCTGGCAGTGTGTTTAATATTATTCAAAGATCGAATGAGCAGCATAGAGGTTTTTTGAATCCCATCACCCACCGTGTCATGAACTACCCATCAAGACCAAAGTCGCCACATGTGAAGAAAGATAACAGCAAAACCGCGGCCTGTGAACTCCTGCTCGAAAAGCTAGGAGTCGCTAGCAACCCGTCAAAAGACGATCTTACCGTCGAAAAACGACCGTTCGTGATCCCGAAGAGCTATAGTAGGTGTAGTAGAGACAACCTGCCGGTACTAAAGGACAAGTCACATACTGACAGAGCTATGATTGCAACCAGATCCAGTTGGTCTTCCTTAAATCTACCACTAGCACCTCTGTCAGAGTGCTTACCGATGTCAGAGACTCGGACACCTCAGAGACTTGGTCTTTCCTTTAAAACGGAAGCACATCGCAGGTGAGTTTGTTTGCCATGAATACACAATATTGTAAGTTATTTGGATTTATTTGCATTTACCACTAAAGTGATGTTTTTCTTCTGTTGCCATTGCATTGATGCTACATAAGCACAATACCAGAACTGTGGTTTCAGTCCTGTTAAGAATTGATGTTAAAGAATCTTTGAGATGATCATCTGGATTTTAGATTTTGACCAATCCTATGGTTTTAAGTTGAAATTGATGTCAATCTCTTGATCTTAATTTCGTAAATGAAACAACGGTACCGTTTTAAATGAAATAATTATTAAGAAACAAACACTTCATGTAATTGGCGAATTGTGTTTTCTTTTGGAAGTTAAGAAAATATTGACATTGGGGAACACTGACGTCCACAATTTGCCAATCTCATTCTGGTTAAGAGAGATGCGTGTCGATAATAAACACATAATGTGTTTCAGTGCAGGTATAATAAGTGCACTTGGTGAACTGGTTTAAAAATATTTTTCATACACAGAAAATCGACACAACATACCGTAAGACATTCTTTTTTTCTCTCATTTTCTTTATCATTTATCATTTAGGTTCAAGGCTTTTCATCCGGAACCTGTCCCAGACCTTCGTGATTCCCGCACTAGTGGACGGAAAGTGATGTTCTTTAACTACCATTCGTCCGTATTCCGGGGCTAGCGACAGATTTTAACGCGAATGGGCGTTCAGATCTATCTAAACAGATAGATCTAAACAAATAATTGTTTAGTAACATCAGATAAACGTACGATATTTGTAAAACCACAAAATTGTATGTACTGTACCATGATTACATGTCTATATATACCGGTACCAATTTAATATATCTTTGTAACTTTTTATTTCCAATATTTGAAGATACGATGCAACCACTTCACATGAACGGATAATAAACTGGTTATAATCAACATAACAACCAAGATGATGGTTGATAAACATGTTTTTTGGTAGTTTCTGTCGATTTTCAGCTAGCATGCTTTTATTACAATAATTGAATATCGCAGTTTTCATTAACCATCAATCTTAAAAATGTTTTTTAATTTTTTAAAAATCATTTGTCATTAAAAATCATTAAAAAAAATTGAAACTTCATTACAATACGAGACAAACGGTTCAAATTTAGTGTGTGAAGAGACACTGATTACATAGGTTAAACATGTTATTACTCTGTACGGCCGAAATAGGAATGAATGAACACAACGATTCATTATGGTCCGTAAAAGCAAGCCTGTTGTGACAACTAAGCGTTTCTCTCGATAACAATTATTGTACTAGCGCCCTCTACATGGGATATTACCAAACTTCACTACTGTACAAACATTTTTTGAAAAACGAAATTCAATGCTTTTAATATACACTCGCTTTTACGCTCGCTACACATGTCTCCCTAAATCACTGATTCAACAATAATAAAGATAAAATATCTCTAGATCTCATGAAATTTCTTAGGCTTATGTCCTGCAATACCCAACTTTACATGATGTTTTAAGTAACATCACAATCCAAACGGTTTTTCCTGGAACCAAATCACTTGAGATTTTAAACATACTGTCACATGGTTTATTGAAAGCATACAATAATAATAAATGCCCATTAATATACTATTACACAAAGTTTGTATCTTTTAAGGGTTCCGGGTGGGACTAACGGCAAAGCTGATTTGATTGATGAGGTCCCCTAATACAAAACCCCATTATACAGGATAATGCAATCAAATATGAGATATTTAAAAAATGTATTTAATAATAAATTATTTAAAAAAACATAAAACAATAAATTGTAGTCAAAAACAGGCTTACAATATTGCTAATAACATTAAAATTACACCCAATTAAATATATCAATTATTAAATAATCAAGGATTAAAGAAAAAAAAATTTAAACTAATGAAGTTAAAATAACGTAATGCTAATTTTGATTTTAAAATTTAAGTTTAGGCTTAATTTAATGACATGTACATTAAAACCTTATCATTTATCAATGTATCTAATATTTAGTGTAACATATCTCCATTTAAGTTTAGGCTTATGACACGGTATTAAGATCTACTGTAATCTGATATTTACCATTTATCAATGTATCTAATATTTAGTGTAACATATCTCCGTTTGAAGTAAAATAATGTATGGTACAATATTATTTATGTAAAGATACTTATACTTGAGAACATACTCGGGAATGTTTGTATCGTATTGTGTACGGTTTAATGTTATCTTTGGTATCAGCAAAGACATGGTATTCTTCTTTGGTACTGCTGTACCCATTATCATCGATTGAATAGACTCGCTAGAGGGCGCTTGTCAGCTTTATGGTGGGCAACAAAATACAAAGGCGCTCTAAACTGTGTAGGTAGCCAAGATCGCCTGTAAAAATTTTGAAATACTCTACGAAAATCTGAATCTTTGTTTGTCAGTCATATAAAGGTAAGTAATCTAGGCATATGTTATAAAAGCATCAACACATGGGTTATTTTGTTTTAAAGTTTAAGATCTATTTAGGTTAAAATGTTTATTTCTGCCAATGATTTACAAAGACGTTTTTTTGCTGTGTTTATTTGTTGGTAAAAAAAAGTCGGCCCTGTTTATCCCGTTAATCCCACTCACTAGGCCTACTCCAGCTTCGTGGGATGAAAAGCGGTAAATTGACAGATGACGATGTACCTAATATTCGTAGCCTAATAATATGTTTTCCACAATAATTATCTTTAATGCATACATTTTGTTAGGAGAACACTAGTCTGTAGATCTAGCCTAGCTAGGGTTTCTGGTCAGTGTTACACAACTACTGTGTAGAGTTTACTAGTAGTAGCCTAGTAGTACTAGTAGTAGGCTAGAGTAGTAGGCTAAGGCTATCCAAACAATCATTCAAAGGAGGACCAGAGGGTACACACTTCACCAGTGCGTGGAAGTTTGCATGCTCTCTCAAGTGAAGAAGGGTTGCAGCAAGTCCTTTTTGCCTTTTCTGTAGATGATCCATAATTGACCAATGAATAAACACAACTTTTAAAATTATACAGTCTTAGTTAGTCTAGTCTAGGCTACACACCACCAGGGACATACACCAATCTTGCTTGGGCATTGCTTTTGTTTTTCCCACGAACGAGCAGTAATGGGTTGTGGATGTATGCAGGCATTACCGTGGAGGTTATTGAGGAAATTGAGAATGTGTTTTGAGTATAAAATACCGATAACTGAGTTCTGGGCCATTCTGCGGGCGGCTGCCTCATGTTATGTGCCTCATGTTATGTACAGTACTCGCCCTCTATCACCAAGACACTCTGGCATGTACTTTGGTTGTCCACCAGTCCACATTACTGAACTACAGTACATCGATTCAAACTTGTGTTTAGGTTACTCTTGAAATGGAGTGTTTTTGTTTGTATTGCAAAACATGTTTAGGCCCTTTTTTATAGAAGTACTTTTAAACACAAGGTGCAATAGGAAACGTGGTCTGAAAATAAGATCTCAAAAAAAATCTAAAATCATCAGTGACACTTTGTTTTTGTAAGGTGATGATAAGAATGTCATTTCGTTATCTTACAGTTATGGTGGAGAGCTGACCCATCTGTCATCATTAACATGATATACAATAAAATGCGCAAGTTGTAAATTGGTATAGAAAAAAACCTATCGTAAAGTCCGGCCCATTTGTATTAATTCTCTTGACCTCATTTGCTTTTGTTTGACCCTTACAGTAGTCCACACATCTGTCTTATTTATGTTAGGGAGCTTTCGATTGCACGATGACGGTAGGACGTAGAACGTAATGACGTCACTAAAAGTCATCTGCGCATGCTAGAACCTTAAGGTCACCTTGTCGAGTAGATTCTGGAACGCAGTTTGGCCAAATCTACGTATGCAGAGAACGTAGGATGCCAGGTAGGATGGTCACGCATAAGTGATTCCGTTTTAGCGTCGTCTCGTCGCACAAATCGAACGCTCCGTATTAATATATTGGATGAACCAGCATATTTCTTTTTGTCATTAGTTGTAATTTATATTTATATATATTTAAATTAATCCTTCTTATATTACATCTTTTTCACATCCTGTCAAATAAGGAATCCTAATCAAGAAATGTGTAAACTACTGTAGGCTACTGTTCTTTTCCAGTTACCATATTACACAATCAATATAAAAAAAAAAAATGATATATGAGCCTTGATAAGTATAACCTATCACCTATACGATTAACTTATGAACATGTTAATGATTAAAACTCGAGTCAGCATAATTTTAATAACAAGATTTTTCTAAGCCAAACATAATTTTAATAACAAGATTTTTCTAAGCCAGTCTTGGCTGAATACAATAGTAAACTGTTTTAATAGTTCCTGCAATTCATCAATATCATTCAGTTAATGCCTCCATTCCCTTTTGTCTTTCTTTGTTATGCATATCACCATTCGTTGGTTAATTCCACATCACTGACTTAATCTACTGCATAACGGTAGCACACTATTCAAAGCTTAGTACTGTAGTAGGGGGCACCATTCAATTAAGGGTAATCTTAAGAGATCAATTATTATAGTGGGGAAGGGGGATGAATAGTAGTGAGCTTGGAGATTTTAAGTTTTTCATTTCCTTCTAAAGGGTTTACTACAAGAATAGTGCCAAGACCCAAGTAAATGCTTAATGAATCGTGATGATATAAAATAGAAATATTAGACTAATTACTTTCCACCTGGCCTAGTATTTGAGATTAAGGGGTGCTAACAATAATAGCCAGGAGGACAATCAGCAAATATCTGAGCAAGGCAGCAAGTATTATGTGCAAAAGAAAATCTAGAAATTTAATTTAATGCCATATTAAGATTTAATGGTGTAATTAATACCATTTTGGTAAGAAATAGCTGATGCAGTTGACATGGTATTTGTTAATCATCTCCCTCTCATTTTGAATAAGATCATGACATTAACTTTTTAATGATAAATATAGTAACTGTTACTCAAAAAAGATCCAGGGTGACGCCAAACCTGGCGGCAGCCAAAAAGTATCATGGCAATGACTAAAACCACTATATACTTAGTAGGTTGCTTTGTGTAAGATTTAAGATTGTTACAGTACAGTAGTTGGTAGTAATACTTGGAAAAATGGTCTTGCATTAAAGGGGCCTTGAATTGGTGGTGCAATTTATTTGTTAATTGATCATTTCATTTTTTGGTATATTATTTTAAGTTGGTTTTTTAATTTAAAAAAAAAGTCAAATTGATTTCATAATAATATTAATAATATTTTACTTGATTATGAAACAAATATGAACCTACAATTAGTAAACCTTGTAAGAATTCCATCATATTCAAGATTTTAAGGTTCCATTTACTAAAATGAAATACTACTGTAGGTGGTAAACAGTTCATTGCAAGGTTAAAAATACAAAACATAAAATATACAGTACTTATCGAAAATACTGAACATATGACTAAAACACGTAATTAGATAATAATATATATAAAGCAAATATAACAATATATTTATAAGGCAAATATAACAATGTATAAAGGCAAATATATTAGAAGTACAGGTGGTTATTTCCCATCAAATGTTGTTCATATTTCAAATGTCATTTTTTGATGAGTAAATTGACTACTGTGCGTACTCTAGCCTCTGGTAATGTAATCTCAAGTAATTATGGGTTAGAAGCTTTTTAATCAAAATATTTGTTTATGAACTTGCGTCATAGAGAGCTACAGTAGTTTGAATGAATAACATAACCTCCTAGAATATCTAGTATCCTATTATATATTGTATAGAATTGCAATGACATTCAATATCATAACGTATGAATACTTTTTTTTAATACTCATACATTCAGTAATAATATTAATAATTATCAAATTTAGTGAAGGTTTGTATGGCGAGTAAAATAAAACACCTTCCAATAAAATGAAGATAAACTTTTGGTATCCTTGCGTAAAAAAATATGGTTTTTGAGAAGAAATAATGGGTAGT